GATATGTTCTGTAATAAATGTTACGTGAAAATCATAGGTGATTACTATTTAATGACTTTAGTTCTTTACCATTGTTCTTTTCTTTATTTTTTACATTAATATTAGCTTTTTAAAGGAACTTATTGGTCGAAGTCGAGGGATAAGCAGCAGTGTCCCTCTTCAAAGAACACCAAAGTCTAACTGCTGTAGCTAATCCGCCTGCCAAGCGTGGCAACTATTTGGAAAATCCCCAATACAGGTAAGCCTATATTCAGCAGTGGACAGGTAATGGCTGATATGATGATGATGATGATTAACTTTTTACTTCGTAATACATGGATTTCAAAAGTAGAAAAACTATTTTTTTTTTATACAACTTAGAATGGCAAACAAGCTGACGGCTCACCTGATGGAAAGTGGTAACCGTCGCCTATAGATATGAGCAGTACCATGGACATAACAGAGTATACTGTTACACCCAAGATACCCCCCACGCGTTGCCATTCCTGAGGACTCAGATGTTATTTCTCTGTACCCTGTAAATTCACGCCATATCCCACCTTTCAAACCAAAACACAGCTATGCAAACACAACTGCTTCATGGTAGAAACACGAATGGAACAGAGGTACCCAAGCAAACTACTTTTGTACAAAGTCTCCCTCTGGACTATTTCTCATCCTATATCCTGGGCATCATGATAAAACCTATTTAATTTAAACCTTCAGGAGCACAACTATGAAACTGTATCCAATTTAGAATGCTTTAACAAACATGCAAATTGACAAACAGACAATTTTTTTAAGAAAAACTGTTTTATCTTCTATTTCTCTAAACGCCTTATCTTATTATTTTTTTTTAAATACCTTCCATATACAAACATCGTCTAACTACAATTTTATTCTATTAGTAAAATTAATACATACCTAGGAGTCATAAATTATGTAAGTAGGTATAATTTAATGGTACGGCAAATTTGAAAATCGTGGATTCCCTAAACGTTTTCTACGGCTATCAATTGTCTTAAAATTCGACAAGCGTACGTTATAAATGCGTGTAGAATATTAAGAAAATCGATTTCAAGTATATATAATTTATTTTTTATATTTTATTTTATTTTATTTAATAATGTACTACATGTTCGAGTATTCTAACGCTTACTTAAGGTTTTTTTATGCGTCTTAGAATGGCAAATAAGCTGACGGCTCACCTGATGGAAAGTGGTAACTGTCGCCTATAGACATGAGCAGTACCATGGACATAACAGAGTATACTGTTTCGCCCATGATACCCCCATGCGTTGCCATTCCTGAGGACTCAGGTGTTATTCCTCTGTACCCAGTAAATTCACGCCATATCCCACCCTTCAAACCGAAACACAGCCATGCAAACACAACTGCTGGGGGGAAAGGGATTGTTAGTAATAGAGACTGAGAATCCCATTGCTAGCAATATACCCAACCAGGTCGACCTCCTCGCGGTTCCCCCTGGAAACTATCATGGTTAATTCCTGATGAATTAATCATGATGGGCTAACTGGCCTGTTTTCATTCTCATCAATCAACCTTCACTGATGCTCCGCCAGCGTATCCCGTTAGCGCAGACGGGGTTACCATTCCATTTTCACCCATAAAAACACACACACAAACACAACTGCTTCACTTATTTATAAGAGTGGCAAATATTAGTAATAATGGAAAACTGGAACGGTTACGACGGCGCGATATGGAGCATAACAAAAAACATCATTTCCAGATCTTAATCTATGCCATTTACTGATTAATGGCAACTTGTTATATATATATATATATATATATATATATATATATATATATATATATATATATATATATATATATATATATATATATATATATATATAATACATTAATAAGAAATAAAAACATGAATGAAAAACCATAGTAGATAATTATAGTCGGTCAGCATATTTCTTTAACGATGGAAACGTAATAGCAACCTTGCCTGCGCCAGCAATTTATGCTGATAGAGCAATAGTGTTGAAGAACTGATACGTACAATCCAGTTAGCTTATTGTGACAGTTTTTTCAAAGAATTAATAATTATGGATCTCAATAGATCAGTTTCGTTTTCTAGTGGGTGATAATTGAAGAGTAACCCCGTCTGCGCTATCGGTATATTCTGGCGGGGTTCCAGTGAAAGGTTTTTTTTATACAACTTAGAATGGCAAACAAGCTGACGGTCCACCTGATAGAAAGTGGTAACCGTCGCCTATAGACATGAGCAGTACCATGGACATAACAGAGTATACCGTTTCGCTCATGATACCCCCTATGCGTTGCCATTCCTGAGAACTCAGGTGTTTTTCCTCTGTACCCCGTAAATTCATTGCTATATTCCACCATTCAAACCGAAACACAGCCATGCAAACACAACTGTTTCACGGTTAAAACACGAATGGGACAGAGATACCCAAGCAAACGACTATTATACAATCTCCTTCTGATAAATGGATTCAAACAGTTGTTTAAAATACACATTTACGAGCTAATTTAAAATCTGTTCACACGGTTCTAATTGACATATGATACAACTGAAATCCTAATGCATGTAGTTGCAAGAGACGTCAAAAATAATAGTATACAAACAAAGAAAAATAATATAATACATATCTTTCATGTATAAAGCACCCAAGGTGTCGTTAGTCAAACCAGATTTACCTATTAATATTCGAGGAGCATACTCAGCTCAGCGTGTGTACCATAACTCAGGATACCGTCGACTCGGTCACAAAAGAGGTAACACAATAGATGATAGATACGTCTGAGAATGATCTGTAATAGTAGACATCTTTTTAATCTGACTGTGAGGGTAAGCACGTGTTAAGAATTTGTTTAGAACTTTTAGATCTATGATCCTAGCTAATAACAATAAGAAAATGTTCACCACAAAAAAAGTGATATGAATTCTAACCGTAATAGCTATAAAATCAAAGCATTTTGTATTTAAAAAAAAATGTTGTATGTATACATTTTTTTTTTAAATACAAAATGCTTTGATTTTATAGCTATTACGTAATAGCTATAAAATCAAAGCATTTTGTATTTAAAAAAAAAATGTTGTATGTATACATTTTTTTTTAAATACAAAATGCTTTGATTTTATAGCTATTACGTAATAGCTATAAAATCAAAGCATTTTGTATTTAAAAAAAAATGTATACATACATACTCTTCATTGTTTCCTCCATAAAATTGCGATAGTAAACTTGTTATAAATACAAATAATTACAAGAAGATATTACACTAAGAAAACTTTGGGCGACCTTATCACTAAGAGCAATCTCTTCTAGGCAACTTTTGGACGGAGAAAATTACAAACAGTTTGACTAGAGGCACGAAACTGTTAGTTTTTTAAATACATACAGAGATATGCTACGTATCTCTATATGTATTTTAATACTGTGGATGTATAAATATATACTTTAAGTAACTAATACATAATAGAATCATGAATTTCAATTCAAAACTGACGAAGATTTCGCGTTGAGCGTTACACGTACAAACAATAATACAGGCGTTAGCATCGGTTTCTCGTCATCTCTACATTATGGTATAAAATATTATAACTGTCAATTTGTTATACGAACTTTTCGTATGTAGGTTCTCTATTGGTCCGTTATGCGTGTATTTAACTGTATCTCTACAAAGGTCGTAAGTAGGCACCGGTAGATTACAAAATATCTTTCACGCAACGCCGTCTTGGTCAAAGACTTGATTCATGTTTTTTTTAAATAGATTACGATGTAATAGTAACTCCGCCTGCGCTAAGTGAAAATAAGTCAATTAGCCAATCGTAACGAATCCAAGAATTAATCACGATAGTTTCCAAGGAGAATCGCGTGTAAGTCGACCAAATAGAGTATATTGCTAGTAATAGCGATATTAGACTCCCATTACTAACAATCCCTTGTTTCCTATTTATGAATAAATGGGGTACCCATTAGACAACAACTCTTTTTAGCTGTTTCTAGTAAATATGTACGTAAGGATTTTCTTTCCAATCAAAATCTTCTACAAAGTATTTCAAAACATAAAAAGATGAAAGAAATCAGGTAAGTTGTTTTCAAGTAATGGCGTAACCAAGGGAAATAGGGATTTATTTTATATATATAGATATGTGTTTTAAATTGATTTTAATATACATGAAAAAAACACTTAGATATTTGTAAGCATTGGCGCATACCTATTTCTTAATCATGGTTTACTGTATGAACTAATCATATGAACCAATAACCATGAAAAGTTGAGTTAACCAAGATCATAATTGAAAATACCTTGCGGTATAAAATAAAATACCCACTGATGTCTATCTGACCAACCATAGATTGACAACAAAATTTTTTACGACTATAAGGCAGAATAAAATTTAAATTAAAAACAAGGAATTACATAGAAGGAATGATAAAATAAAAACTGTAAATCATATGGTTGCCTCCTTTCTTCTTATGCAAATATAATTAGTAAAAAGTGGACGAAAAATACATCATCAGTTGTTATTTTTCTCAATTCATAGCAGATTAGTTTATAAAAAATGTTTGATATGTCAATTATTTTTCAGTAACAAATTTTACATTACTGGATTATATATTCGACACAGTTTATGTAGAAAGTATGCAAGCAGGTTGTATCTGAATTTCGTAGGATTATATGGCCGTATCATATTTTCTATACACTAGCCTGCTATGAATTGAGAATTTAATCACTTCTAATTCCTTGTTCTTAGAATTCAAATACCTGTCTACCACAGAGCAAGTAATCACTGTTATACTATCTACATAAAAAGAGAATGAAATATCTTTAATCTACGGTTCAATTATTATATAGCAGCTTTTTTTAAAACAAACATCCGATGTAAGCAATTTTTTTTTTCGTCTCAAGAAGAAAGTATTGTATTCCATAATAACAATGATTGAATGAACAAGTGACATTGACAATGACATTATTAGTGACAGTTATATGACACATGACATTTGTAACCTGTATTTGTATCGCATTTTCATAGTCATTGTCATAGTACGTTTTACTTACGGCTATTTACTTTCTATCGACAGAATTAAAATTAATTTATTAATTTCTTACAATAAATTAAATATAAAACAATATGGTAAGTAAAAACAATGTTTGTTATGCTTGATATAAGGTACCGTTCCGACCATTATATTGAAAATTACAATACTTAAAACTTGCACTGTCATTCGTTACCGGTACATAAATTGCAATGATTATTTATTAAAATATTATTTTGTATGATTTAATGTTGATTTTTCTGTAATTCTAATTAAATACAAATGGTTTCATAAACTATTTAGACTGTCAGTAATATTTTACTAACTTCAGATATAACCTAAAAATAGTACACAAAAGTTGGCTTTGACATATCATCATTGTAGTATTTACATATCTGCTGCTGGGCATAGGCCTTCCTTAATATTTTTATGTTAGATCCTGTGCTCTTTGCGTCCATCTATTTACTATTGTGTCCCTAATGTACAAAAAACAATTAATCCATCTAGGAGTCTTATACACGGCTTCCACTTTAATTTCAATTGTCATCTATGAATACTATTTTTGATATTTTACACACAATAGGTATGAAATTAATTTGTAAATTTCTTCAAATTCTAGTTCCGGAATCAGTATGACAGTGATGTCACAGTGTGGAGCCCTCAGGGCCGTCTTCATCAAGTCGAGTATGCAATGGAGGCAGTTAAACTCGGTTCAGCAACTGTCGGGTTAAAAAATAAACAGTTTGCTGTGTTGATTGCCTTGAAAAGAGCTGTAAGTGAACTGTCTGCATATCAGAAAAAGATTATTCCTATTGATGACCATATTGGTATTTCTATATCAGGCTTGACAGCTGATGCTCGTATGTTGAGGTGAGTTCTTTATAATTCATAATCTAAGTCAATATAATTCTAATATATATGGGGGTATCATGAGTGAAACAGTATACTCTATTATGTTCATGGTACTGCTCATGTCTATAGGTGATGGTTACCACTTTCTATCAGATGGGCTGTCAGCTTGTTTGCCATTCCAAGTTACATAAAAAAATCTAAATTTTAATGTGTAAGCATTCGAGTATTCTGTTACTTCCCTAAGATTGACTGGGAGAGAATGCTTTTATTATTACATCCATCTTGTAAACATACATGTACTAATGAATAAATAAATAAAAATAAATAGTCATTTAACTCCTAAAGACTATCAACTGTTAACTGTCCACTGCTGAATGTAGGCCTCCCCTGTCAGGGTTTTTACCAGTAGTTGCCACACTTAGCAGATGGATTGTCAGCTCCAGTTAAGCTTTGGTGAACTATCCGTTACCATTACATTCCCTTAGTCGCCTACAGCTACTAGAATGGAAGGAGTGGCCTATTTTTTGTCTGAACCACAAATGGCGATATACATATATATATATATAATGTATGCCATTATAAATTTAAAATATTTTAATTTAATGTATAAATTATTATTTAAATTTTGTTTTATTGTGAAAAACAATCATACCTTGATGCTACAGTATTAAGTTGAAAAACTTGCAAAATTTTTTTTTTTTAATTTCTTTGGATTGTAAATCATCATCATCACTGTCATTGGTAATCAAATTATGTACACGAGTATGTGTAGTACACTCCTATACACAGTAGGTAATAGTCTTGCTATTAAAAATAATATAAAACACCTGTCATTATTTAAATATAATATTATTACAATTTTAAAAGAAAATGTCTGAGGATAAGCATTGGTTAACCCTAGTAGTGGTGTTGTAAACATAAAATTGAGTTTTCTATTTCAGCCGATTTATGCGTACAGAATGTCTGAACCATCGGTATGCTCATGATGCACCAATGCCAGTGGGCAGACTGATTGCACTAGTGGGCAACAAGATGCAAATTTGCACACAGCGATATGACAAACGACCTCTTGGTGTTGGTCTGTTGGTTGCTGGTTATGATGTATGTATACATTTATATAAGACTAGCTTTTGCCCATGACCTTAGAAGTACAGTCTGTTTCAAAAGAACTTAATGGAAAATGTAAACAAATGGATAATTGCCTGACAATAAGAATGTTTGCAGATATCTAATAGTAGTCCGAAACAAAAATGAATCAACTGATTGAAAGATTCCTCTGTAAAAATATAAGCCTAAAGAAATTCTAATTATTGTTTTAACTTTATTGCTTTTATTCCCTTTCCTGCCTTTATTAAATTATTTATAATAATAGCATGCCTGATATATGATATCACATAACATAAATAAAAATATAATTGATTTTATCTATCTATCCTATTTAAGAGCTGCGCTTTTGTCAGTAGAGCTCTTGCCACTCACTACGATATTATAAGAAATAAAAATATTTTGAAAACCTTTTCAGGCTATAATTTGCAGAAAAAAAGTTTTAATTCATTATTATATAAAAAATTTATTTGCTATCAACAGTAATGTGATTCTCCTTGACCAAACTGACTAATGAATCTTTTTAATTTAATGGTTTTATAATTAGAATAATCATTGGATATATTTTGTCAAAAAGTAGATGTAATTGTAAATTGGACTCCCATTTTCATATTTAGACCCTCTCTTTTACCCGTTGTACATGCAAGTCGTGGCTAATACAGCCATCCAGGGGGGAAAGGGATTGTTAGTAATGGAGATTGAGAATCCCATTACTAGCAATATACCCAAACAGGTCGACCTCCTCGCGGTTCCCCCTGGAAACTATCATAGTTAATTTCTGATGAATTCATCATGATGGGCTAACTGGCCTGTTTTCATTCTCATCTATCACTCTTCACTGGTGCTCTGCCAGCGTATCCCGTTAGCGCAGGCAGGGTTACCATACCATATTCACCCATCAAAAAAAAAAATACAGCCACCAACCTCCACCCAGATACATTGAAGCATTCTAATCTTCATGGGCTTTACAATAGTTAAAAATGTTATTATTAAAATATTTATAGTTTGACTAGTGGGATAGATATGTTCGTGCAGATGACTTTTATACAGTCACTCTTATAAGTGTTCACCTTAATTTTCTAGGACCAAGGCCCTCACATTTACCAGACTTGTCCCTCAGCAAACTACTTCGACTGCAGAGCCATGGCTATCGGAGCCCGGTCGCAGTCTGCCAGAACATATCTTGAGAAACATCTCAATACTTTCGTGGACTGTGACCTCCAGGAGTTAGTGGCCCATGGTCTGAGGGCTTTAAGAGATACACTGCCGAATGAAGTGGATCTTAACACAAAGGTATAGTCTAGAATGTGTAGTTCAATAGATTTAATGTATAGATAACCAAGTTTCGTTGCATTTATCACAGACATATAACTATTCCATAGAACTGTCTTCGATTATATCATCCTTATTTCCTACCACATTAATGTATATATATTATATGTGTATAGTTAGTGTTGTATATTTATATTTATGTATGTGTATAATTGTGCTTATTTACACATGTTTAAATCTATTTTTTTAACGCGCCACCTACCTGTTTATTCTGAAATCTTTTTACCCAAAGTAATAATCTTGTAATATTGATGTAATAAGAAGTTAAATAAATACATTAATTCTATATACTATAAACTATATATATATTAATAATATATATATTAATTATATATTCTATATACTATAATTTAAATCTGATCCCACAAAATATCGTGAACAGTATATACGTGTTAGAAATCACTGTAATAAGGTGTGTAGAGAAGCTCAACGACGCCACTTTCATAAATCTGTCGAAAATGGCAACCCAACCAAAGTTTGGAAATTTCTGAAGTCGGTGGGGATTGGTAAGAATCAAAGTTATGGCTCCCAAAATATTGATATTAACAGCCTTAATAGGCATTTCTGCTCTTCCGCTGTTATTGATAACACCACTAAAACAAACACGATTAATTACCTTTTTTCTATTCCAATCCCTGACTATTCGCCTTTTTTCTTTACTCCAGTTGCGGACTGTGATGTTGAGAAGAGCCTGCTAGCTATTACTTCTAATGCTGTGGGGTCAGATGACATAAGTCGTACTATGATCCTTCCCATTCTTGACATTGTCCTTCCCATTATTACATTGGTTTTCAATAATTCCTTGTCCTCGGGAGTTTTCCCTTCTGTCTGGAAAAACGCACATATACTTCCTCTCCCTAAAAAACCCAATCCAACATCTTTTTCAGACTTCCGTCCAATTTCCATTCTTCCATTTCTTTCTAAAGCTCTCGAGCGACTTGTCCATCAACAACTAAATGAATTCCTATCCAAGAATGATCTTTTTAATCCCTTCCAATCAGGTTTCCGTGCCGGTCATAGTACGACTACTGCTCTTGTCAAAATCACCGACGATATCCGTCATGGTATGGAAAACTCACAGCTTACGGTTTTAACATTGTTAGACCTAAGTAATGCTTTTAATACTGTCGATTTTGATATATTATTAGGAAGATTGCGTTCTCTCAACATATCTCCAGCCGTAATCGAGTGGTTTCAAAGTTACCTGAATGGGCGCCAGCAACGCATTCGTACTGAAGATAGCTCTTCATCATGGTGTCGCACGCTAGCTGGTGTACCTCAGGGTGGCGTCTTATCTCCTTTACTTTTTTCGTTATTTATTAACACCATCACTATTCAACTTCGCTCTTCCTACCACCTTTATGCAGATGATCTTCAAATTTACTCACACGCTCCATTTCATGAGTTAGACTCTGCGATATATTCAATAAACAAAGATCTGGCATACATTTCGAGCTGGTGTAAATCATTTGGATTAACTGTAAACCCTAATAAAACGCAGGCTATTATTATCGGGAGCCCCAACTATATTTCAAGAATTTGCTGGGAAAATCTGCCTAATATAATGTTCGACGGGATATCTGTGGACTATAAAGATTTTGTAAAGGATCTCGGAATATATCTTGACAGAACGCTATCCTGGAGCACCCAAATAACAGAGATTAGTAGGAGGGTCTTTGCGATTGTGGGCTCACTCAGAAGATTACGTAATTTTTTACCTATGGCCACTAGAGTTGCGCTTGCTCACTCCCTTGTCCTTCCTGTCCTTGACTATGCTGATACCTGCTACATTGATCTCACCGAAGATCAACTTAATAAACTTGAGCGTCTCCAAAACCTGTGTATTAGATTTATATTTGGACTTCGTAAATACGACCACATCTCTAATTTTCGCACTCAGCTCAAGTGGCTCCCAATACGTCGACGCCGAGATTGGCATATATTATCTCTTCTTTATTCCATTCTATTCAATCCTCTTACACCTCACTATCTTAAAGAGCGATTTATATTTCTCGGTGAAGTTCAGAGTCACGCTTCGCGTACCTCAAATAGTCTCCGTTTAAAAACCCCAGCACATACCTCCGTGTACTACACCAAATCCTTTTCCGTTCAGGCAGTGCGCCTATGGAACTCGCTGCCACCGACTATACAGAGTGCGCAATCCTTGGCTTCGTTTAAAGGACAAGTCAAATCACATTTTCTTTCACTGTAGTTACTCTTTTCCACTCCTTTGTAATTTTTGGACTAGATTTGTCATATTTCCTTGTGTGTGCTATGTATGTATTTATATGTGTATGTTTATGTATTTTGTATGTATGTTATATGTGTATATGTATGTATATATATATGTATGTGTATGTGTATGTATGTATGTATATATATTGTTATAGTAAGTAGTTTAATAAATTATATGTATTTGATATTTTTGTGCATTATATGTTTTTGTATTTTGTGCACGAAAATTGTTGATTCACTCTTGCGCCACCTGCCGTTTTCTATCTGTTCTCCCTTAACTAAAGGTTGTCTGTAAGAGATTGCCCTAGCGATAAGACCGCCTTTTGTACCTTTATGTGTATATTTCAATCTGTATTTATGTTACTGTATTTCATTTGAATTATTCACTTGTCATTGTATATTTTTATTTATGGTGCAATAAAGAGTTAAATAAATAAATAAATATACAATGCCACCTAGCGGTGAGTACTGTATTATCATTCTAATATTTTAATATAGTAAATAATAAAAATATGTGTGGCATATCATCAGAAAGACGAAATTACAGCAACAGACTTTGTAAGGAATGTCTGATTAATTACCTTTTTCCCTTTGTGATTTTGCCCCAAACAAGTTGACCTTACATATCTGTTTCGTATAATATAAAAATAGAATTACATCCTTTGTAGGCTTGACATCATCAGGCGATTCATCAATGGTGTCATGATCGATTTTGCCGTATAGTGCCGGCTTAGAATGGACCACTCCTTCCTTTCCTGTGGGTGTTGTAAGAAGCGACTGAGAGAACTTAATGGTCGACGGATGGACCGCAGCGTCCCTCTAAAAGCATTACCATAAGCCTAATTGTAGTTGCTAACCCGCCTGCCAAACGTGGCGACTAATGGCAAAATCACCCTTTATGGGGGAGGTCCATGTTCAGCAATAGACAGTAAACTGCTGATATGATCAAACCCGGGACCTCATATACGCAAAGCAACATGTCATTAATCATTTTAATGTATTTTATTCAACAGAATGTGTCAATAGCGATTGTTGGCCCTAAAACGTCCCTGCAGATTTGCGAAGAGGCTGAACTGACTCGATTCTTGTCTCTGGTGGAGGGTGAAGAGAGACGTGGAGGCGGCACTGCTACTGGCGACGCTGGGGCATCGGGGGCAGACAGGGACCCCACGGGGGACGAGAGGGACCCACAAGTAGCAGTGAGTATGAATAGATAGATACTCTTCATTGTTCTTTCCAAAAGATTACAGTAGTAAACTTATAATACTAATCCATGTCGACAAGAATACTAACACTATGTTACGAGAATTTTATATATTAGATTTATGCAATAATATTTTTTATGATTTTTGTTACACCATTTAAAAAAAATATCTCAGAGATAGAGCATCTATTTTCAAGCAAAAATTTGGTTGATTCAATTCGACACATGTTTTTTTAATAAAACCAATCATTTTATTAGTATTGTATTAAAAATTTGCAAGTAATTACTTGCTAATTTTTAATACAATACTAATATACAATTATATTAAATAATAATATAATACAATTGTATTAAAAATTTCCTAGACGGAAATAGTTTTTTTTTTATTTAATTTTTTTATTTGAATTAGGAACTATTTCTTTTGATATTTAATGTTTATATAATTTATATAGTTATACGTAACTTCACATTGATTACAAATTAATATACATGTATTTATTAAAATAGTTGTCATTTTTAACGATTTTTAAAACAATAACATAAGTCTGTTTGGATAATCTTTAAAAATAAGCATCGATATAAATCATTGTGTTATGTTTATTTTATTTTTTCAAACGTATTCGTAAGAAATTTGCATCGTCTTTATTTTTTAACACAACCTTACAATATAGCTTATTCCATACACTCGGTAGTAAATATATATTATAATAACCTAAATCACGCATACATAGATGAAATAAAGTTGACCTGTTTTTGGTGAAGCATTTGTATGGCAACATTATATAATCTAAGGTCACAAGTGTGACAGTAAAGCTTAAATATTACTACTAGTTAGATGTAGTCGATTGCCACATAATCACCGTGGGGCTTGTTCCCGGAGTTATTTCGCTGTCTATTGTATCAGGCCACGTAGTCTTCATTTCGGGGTCTCGTTCTATTATATTAAGAGGAAGATCATCTAAATTTGGAACAAGTGCCCATTTTTTGTACAGATTTAAAGCCAGGCTCTGTGCGTCATTAGAAAGGTATGCATGTCGAATTTCTGCATTAAGAAATTGTTCCTCAACTTCAGACTTTATAATCTCTTGCACGCTTTGCTCATCCCAAAGCTCTCTTTTCACTTTAGCGTCCAATGCGGCTGATAAAAACATTCTCCATCTCGGAATGTAATAATATGTAAAAAGCTCCCGCCATTGTTTACAAGCATAATCACTGATTTCACCGTTTGGGCCCCATAATGTTATTTGATTTCGTGCATTTAATGCATAGTGGTAACTTTCATTCGGTGCCCTCGCTAGATCAGTAGCTTTCGACACCCACAGATTTGCAGAGAAATCGTCGTTTGTATATAAAATATTCTCTATATCTGACATCACGTCAAGGAAACGGTTTATGGACGCGTTGAAGACCCAACTATTTGAATATCGGTCAATCAAAAGCCTGGAATACAACTGCTCGGCTCTGTATTGTAAAGCTTGTCTGGTAACATCGACCAAATCATGGTAAAAGCCAGGAGTGTTACAATCAGGGTTGTTTACAAAAACAAACCTTTTAAAAGCTTCAAATAAATCCCTGCTTTTGTACCACGCCCACGGTTTAATTCTGAAACTTGGTCTACGTGTGATGACATATTTACCCCTGATTCGATTTAGTCCATTGAAATTATAAACACTTTTTAATAAATATTTCCAAGCGATTGCAGTGTCGTTACAGCCATATCGTCTTTCGGCATAATCACCGACCCAGGCGTCGAGGTCACGCACTGGACCTTTTCTCCATGCGGATTCCAACATCAGGTCGTATACAACATAATTTTGGTTAATACCTTCCGGTGTGAGTCCGATTCCAATCATAGTACTATTTTTACTGGATCTCGCCTCATACACAACTGTATTTATAATATCCATACTTCCAAACATGCCTAAAGTTCCTCCAAAATTGTGCAGCATACTCCAAATAAAAGGTTGACCGAAGTACATTTCATAAAAATTGTATTGTGGCCACTGTTCGGATTGAAGGTCTAGGATCAACATCCGGCCATTAGGTACAGAAGAGAGCAATGCCTTTACTCTATTTTTGGGCCATAGAACTGGATCGTGAACAAACATCCAGTTCTGCAGTAACCAAACAGCATTTTCATCGGTTCGAGTCATTGTAGAAAATATCGACATTGCTGTTTTCTGGATAAAAGGTGTAGACCAAGATGAAATACTAATCTCATTAAATGGATCCGCGGTATATATGTGACTAGATCCACTGTCAGCGATGATTTCTTTCAAAAACAATGTACCTATCGTCTTGAATAGAGGTTCATTTGGGTCCAAAAACAGGCCGCAACAGTACTCTGTGCTGAAATCATTCCAAGTGTTTACCTTGTAAAATGTTGTATTTGGATAAATCCGCGAGAAAGCTTTAGGGACGTGACCGTTGAATGCTGGGAAAACGGGTACAATACCAAGTTTGAACATTAAATCCACGACGGCATATTGAATGTCCTTTTGTCGATCATGCCAAGATTGAAATAGCGGGCCTCCCCACCCGCGCAAGTTGCCCATTCGTAACCAAGACAAGAACGCTGGCCCCGTTAGGTGGTTGTCTATTTCCTCTTGAGTCATGCCAATCTGTTTGTATATGCGGGTCCAAGCAGCTTCTTGAGCGACGGGTGCCAACGATAAGTTGATACCATTCAACGCCATCCATTCGACATGACTTTTCCAGTCCTCAACAGTCCACCACACAAAACTGTAAGACGCCGTGCACACATTTTGGTAATAACGGAATCGATCGTTGGCTGTCACCGTCTCGTCCACCTCTGGCAACACATCTGGCAACGAGATACGTTGAACTTGCCATCCTTTATGAGACTTGCAGTATTTCTTTAAGTAGTAATTAAATCCCCACAGTGCTGCGACACCTGTGCTAGCTCTTATCCGCAATTGTCCTTGGCTTGTCCTGATCGAGAATGTGTCTTTATTGCCGTTGAATAAAAGAGTATTCACCTCCACTATTATATTATTATTATCGGATGGCACATATTTTCTTATTATGTTCAGTGCAGTTTCTTGCTGCACAGCGGCTGTAGTTCTTGTCTGAAGTTTCGTTGGGTCGAGATAATCCAAATTTAGAGCTGTTATCACTGTTATACCATGTAAAAATAATAAAATATAACGTATCATGACGGACGAGTGATCTTCAAGACGTTCTGTATGTTTATGAATGTCCAACCATATAGCATTGTTGATAAAGAGAGTCTAACGAGCTGACCATTGAACTCGATGTAGGGTTGTCAATTTTTATTAAGATCTTAATATTGCATTTAATTTAAAAAATAATTTACTGTAAGAATTTACTATATAGAATACGCTCAGTAGGAGTTAATTTAGAATTAAGTTTTTTTTTTATAATTATACATATTATAATGTCTAAAAACTCATTTAAATACAGTATAGAAAATCATTCCTTTTTCACGAAGATTAACCTAGTAAGTAAAGTGGCCAATTCGGCCATTTTTGTAATGTCTCTATCCGTTTATTACGTTATGACGAGAAAATTAATGAGCATATGTCAGTAAAATTTGACATGCGGAGTCAGCGGAGTGAATTGACACAATTGGATTGAGAGCAAGCGAAAATCACATCGAATATATCTGAAATGGTCAAATTAACCTTATATTACCCTTGACTCACCGGAATATTTGTGCTTTTGTGTAACTTTTGCTGATAATGTTATCTGCTATTTTTTATCGCGACTTCGTTCGCATGACTCGGAATAAAAGTAGCCTATACCTGTCTCCCTCCATACTATATCTTCTAAATTATACTCCATAAATACTGCACTCTCTAATTTATCAACGATTTAAACTATTAAGGCGCCAAGGGGTAACAAACACACTCACTTTCACATTTATAATTTTAGTTTTTAATTCAGTATTGTAGCGTTTCGCAGTTTGTGACAACCCTATAACGTCGGATAAACGTCTCATTAATGCCGGCTGTTATTCACTCACAAATAATGTTATCAGTAAGTACTTTTGTACAAAAGGTTTCTACTGTCGTCACAGGCCATTAATGTAAAATACATGTAAAATAATATAGAAATTTATGTATGTTTGTAACTTCTATTATGTACATTTTTTTTTATACAACTTAGAATGGCAAACAAGCTGACGGCCCACCTGATGGAAAGTGGTAACCGTCACCCATAGACATGAGCAGTACCATGGACATAACAGAGTATACTGTTTCGCCCATGATACCCCCTATGCGTCGCCATTCCTGAGGACTCAGGTGTTATTCCTCTGTACCCAGTAAATTCACGCCATATCCCACCCTTCAAACCGAAACACAGCCATGCAAACACAACTGCTTTACGGTTGAAACACAAATGGGACAAAAGGTACCCAAACAATCAACTTTTGACGGTTTTGGATAAAATTTAGTATACATATCCTGAATATTACACAATGTATCTTTATTTAGGAAAATAAAATGTAAGAATTATGATTTAATATTGACAGCAATAAATCATCAATTTATAAATGATCATATTGATATATGAGAATTTTCATTCACACTGTTTTTTTTATCGGCCCAAATTCGAACTCACGACATTTGAAGTCGTATTATTTAATCTGAATAATATAATCACTAAGTCATAACGCTTGTTATCATCATCTCATTATCCGTCCACTGCTGGACATAGGCCTCCCCCTTAGACTGCCATAAGGTATGGTCCTGAGCCACCTGCATCCACTGACTCCTTGTAATGCATTTGAGGTCGTCACTCCATCTAGTGGGGTGTCGTCCTACACTACGTGCTGTAATCCTTACTAATATAAATATTAAAGTCTGTTTGTTTGCCTTACAGCGCCTTAACTACTTAACCATGAAATAACCAAGATTAGTAACTTTGGCATACACGTGCTAAATGAGAGCTATAGGCCTACTTTTTATTCCGGTCACGGGACACCTGATAGAAAGTGGTAACCGTCGCCTACTATAGACATGAGTAGTACCATGGACATAATAGAGTATACTGTTTCTGGTATAAAACACCTTTCCTCATTTCAAGCAGTTTCTTCATGGCTGTGTTTCGGTTTTATGGACAGTTAATTAAGAGGGTGATATGACGTCATACTTTTCGGGAATGGTAACGCATGAGTAGTATAAACTGTGATACCCTTTGTACTGTTCATGTCTATAAGCGACGATTACTACTCATCAGGTGGATCCTCAGTTTGTCTTCTATGAAATTGCATAAAAATATTTTCTGCAAGACGTTATCTAAAGTCGCCTATTGTTCCTTTTTTACCTTGCTTCTTGTGACGCGGATTTCTTTTCATACATATTTTATATATGGCTGGTCGTGTGGTCCCGGCATAGAATAGGCCACCCCTTCCTATCCCGAGGGTGTCGTAAGAGCCGACTGAGAGAGAGCAAGGGATGGGCAGCAGGCAGGCCTTCTCAAAACATCTCTAAACCCCTGACTGCGGTTGCCCAGCGTGACAATTATTGGCAAAATTTACTCACTCAAAATTAGCGTGTTCAAAAAATTCAAAATGAACGAACCACTATTATTTTTCGCCTTTATTAACATTCCGCATTTTTTGTTTCAGGTGGCGATGGACACGGAATAAACATAGACCGGTTACAGTCCACAGCTAACGAGGATTCAGTGAAATCGGATCCACTTAGCTTCCATCCTTCAGTCTGCAAGTGGGCTGATGCGTACAGTCTTTTTTTACCTTCCTTAAGTCACCTCAAAGATCTGCCTTGGCCAGTGTTTAAGTCTATATATTTTGTATGACCTTATTGATTATGTTTTTGTATGACTTTCAAGTCCAGTCGGATTTATCCGACAAATATTAGTTGCCGGATTTTCTGACTTTTTTTCTTTAGGCTGCCTACTACATTAATACAATAAGTAAAATATAGTCCAAATATATATGTTTACAATACTGTATAAATTTTGAAAAAATATGAAACACCTGAAACATGTGCTTATAAAATTTTAGTGTCTTCCTCGATTTCCTTGGTATCCCATCATCAGACCCTAACTTTGTGACAATAGACTTGGTACTGTCAGTATAAGAGTATACTGTGTCGAATAAAAAAATTATGAAATCGGTCTACAATTAACGAAGAAATCGGTGGACGTACATAAAAAAAAATGTAAAATCGAATATACATAACCTCCTCCTTTTTTGAAGTCGGTTAAAAATTACTTTTCATAGAATTATAAAAAAAAAAGAATTATATTACAATATATAACCCATTTAAAAAGTTAAAATCGTGGGCCAAAGTACTAGTTTCTGTTAGAGCTATAAATGTCTAAAATTAATAATAAATTATTTAATTTGATAATTATTTAAACATAACTATATCAAAATGTTTGCAATATCATGAAATAGCCAATTAAGATAAATGGATACACTAATTATTTCCTTCAAAAGGTTACGTTAGTGAACTTATTATAAATACAAGAAAGCACATAGTAGAAATAATTTATTGATTGTGCTAAACATTTCTTTCGGATATCGCAGGGGATTCCCGCGTCTCTCTTGTAATCGCCAATAAAACGGGTTCAGCAGTTAAAGTAATAAAGACGTTGAGTCATTGTACACATTGTTGAACTATGTAATAAAATTCTACATACGCGATGTCTATTTCTGGAACGTGGAATATTTAAGAAAAATTCGTATAAGGGATATTAATAGGAGTAATAGAAGTCAAAATAATAATTTTAAGTAATTTCTAAGCAAGTCTGTCTGTATATTTGTTCCGGCATCACGGAAAAACGGCAAAGTCGGCCAGCTCGAATTATTGATAATCAGCGCCTTACTGTCCGACTCGACCCACTGAAATTGCGCAGAGATGTTGCATCTCTGTGCATCTTCTACCGAATTTATCATGGGGAGTGCTTTAAGGAGTTGTTTGGGCCTGCTGCTGATTTTCACCACCTTACAACCCGCCATAAACTAAAGTTTCATTCCAACCATTTGGACGAGTGGCGGTCCTCCACCGTGCGTTTTTCAAGGCACTTTGTTCCACACACGACCACTCTTTGTAATCAACTTCCAGCAACAGTATTTCCGAACCGATATGACATCGTAACCTTCAAGAAAAGAGCATATTCCTTTTTAAAAGGCCGGCAGCACACCTGCAATGCCGTTAGTGTTGTGGGTGATCATGGGCGGCGGTAGTCACTTACGATCAGGTGAGCCGCATGCTCGTTTGCTCCATGTGTTGTAAACAACAATCTATGCATCAATTTGGATGTGTTTTTAAATAGTTGCGTTCCTAAAGGCCTAATATAAAAATTAATTCTAATACGCCATCCAGAAATGATCTATTTCATTGTCTTTTTACTTCTGAAATCTATACGTAAAAAGAAGCGGGCATAAACCTAGCCATCATCATCATATCAGCCGCTATCTGGGGTCGTTCTACGCTGCGTTTGCCAATACGGGGTCGCCACTCAAAAGCCTTCGTCATCGGTTATCGGTTCCTCGCTATGCGACCAGTCCATTGCCACTTCAGTTTACCTTTCCTTCGGGTTATTTCGGTCACTTTAGTCGTGCTGATATCCTCATTTCGTAGTTTATCGTGGAAAGAAACTCCCAGTATAGCACACTCCATATCTTGCTAAGTAACTTAACCACTTAATGCGAGGGTTTTTCTGTGAAATGAGCTCAACTGGCGCACTGGTGCACACGCTAAATATTATTATTATTACGCTAGATATAATTTTTTACAAATCTATCTTTTTTAACGCGCCACCTACCTACTTATGCTTTAATCCTTTCTACCCAAAGGTTGTCTGGAAGAGATTGCTTAGCAATAAGACCGCCTTTTGTACTACACTATACGTATTGAAAATTGTTTTAACAAAACATGTTATGTTGGTGCAATAAAGTGTTAAATAAATAAATTCGAACGAGCATACAATAAATATACACTAAGCTCTATGAATTACAAACGGGCGAAAAGGTATCGCTCCAGATAAAAATGTAAACGTTTATAAGTGGTGAGAGGTACTAGGAATAGCGGAAATCGGAACACATTTGCGAGAGGGTCTCGTTCGAGATGCTTAAGTGGTTAAAGCTTTTGCATACGATAACTCTGAAGGACCATGTCTCGGTTCCGTAGGTCATTGCTGGCAACACGCATACAAAAACTATTAATTTATCTGTGACTATACTCTGGTCATATAAGCTTTCCGATTTAAACACTGGCCAAGGCAAGACGGGGTATGAAATTGTATAATTTCTTTTTTTTTCGTATTGTCTATGTCTATATAAATAAAACACTGCTTTATAATCGTTGTATATTTCATACATCTTATATATATGCATATAAACATATTAACAGATAACGTAATTAGATTAGATTGAAGACTTTCGGGTAACTTGGAGCTTGCAAGTTTATTTAGTTGATAATACTAAGTAATAGTTAGCCGTGTGGTCCCGGCATAGAATGGACCACCCATTCCTTTCCCGTGGTCGTCATAAGAGGCGACTAAGGAAACTTATTTATTGAGGGATGGGCAGCAGCGTCCGTTTCAAAACGTTACCTAAGCGTGGCTGCGGTTGCTAACTCGCTTGTCAAGTGTGGCAACTACTGGCCAAACTCCTCATGAGGGAGGCCTGTGTCCAACAGTGGTCCGTTAATGACTGATACGATGACTAAATGATAGTTATAATAATGTGAATTTAAGATAGTTTTCCAGGTTGATCCCTTCAAAAACTGCAATGCATTATGTACTAAGACATGTGTGTGCATAACTGAATGCTCCAATATAGTCCTCGGGTGGGCATGCCCACCCGTCCCGCCCACTTAAATAAACCTATGCAAACAAATAATCATGCCAATTATCCATTATTATTATAATATCAGCCGTTAACTAGCCACTCCTGAAAATAGGGCTACCCCATAGACTGCCATAAGGAACGGTCCCGAGCCACCTGCATCCACTGATTTCCTGCAAGGCATTTGAGATCGTCGCTCCATCTAATGGAGGGACGTCCTACACTTGCTTGTACAGTGTCGCCACTCGATCTATAAATGAATTCAAGTATGCTCGGCGAAATGGATGATGTCGAGTGTCACGTTCACCACAACGGTAACAGACGACTATTGTCTCTGATCACCCCGTCAGGGATTACAGTCGTGAGTATATTTTTTGTTATTTTTATTATGAATGATAATTATAATTGTAAGAGATACGTTTGTAGACAGATGTAACAATGTTTAGCCTCAATTTACAATATTTATTAATATAATATACTTGACAAGCTCTCAATATGTGAGGACGATTATATTAACATACTTGCTGATTGAATATCGAAATTTCATTAAACAAATTCTACAATATTTATATAGATATGTAAGTTGCCAGAATATTGTAATTTATGAATGGTATATTTTCAACTGTACGCTACACTAGGGATGGGTTATATTAATACCGCTTCAATATTTATATATTGGGTTTCTGTAGATATTGATGGCGTGAAAAGGTTATCACCCATTTGGTCCATACCAGTCTGATATCAGTCTGTATAATTTCTTTTTTATACAACTTAGAATGGCAAACAAGCTGACGGCCCACCTGATGGAAAGTGGTAACCGTCGCCTATAGACATGAGCAGTACCATGGACATAACAGAGTATACTGTTTCGCCCATGATACCCACCATGCGTTACCATTCCTGAGGACTCAGATGTTATTCCTTTGTACCCAGTAAATTTCAATTGGATTTTTCATTTTGATATTACAAGTATATATTGGATAATCGGGGATTAATATATCCGTTATTAGGTCAACGTGTAGATATTGTTACTACAATATATAGATGTTGCTGTATATGACACATCTTTACTGACAGAATCTTGCTTCCTCTAGAATTTGATATACCATTACGTAATACGCTATAAAAAAAGGTATTTCAGTACAATATAGACCACAGAAAAGATTGATATCTCTATAAAAATGCACCAAAACACCTGATATTCAAACAACATAATATTTTTTTCAACGTCACAAAAATGGATACTGCCGCGAGTTATCAATTTGACTAGCCTAAATTTATACATACTGCGATTGGTGGTTTTGTATATATTTTTGGCATTGTAAACTAATATATTTTTACATTATTTACTATAAAACTTAATATAAGGAATCAGAACTTAGTTATGTTGTAATAAAAAATACTATCAGTATCGACGTTTCTAAAATTGTTTTCTTTGTCCATGATTGAGATATCTTTGCCCATTGCTGAAAGCTAAGCTCACATACTGTGGTGTGCACTAGACAATCTTGGGCTCTCCTGAATTATGTCTACCAGTAAAACCAAAATTTTTTACGACGACACATGGTTCGAAAAATGACAATGAATTTAAGGAATGATCTGTACTGCTGTCGATTTAAGACTCTAAGAACACTCGTAAAAGGGAATAATAACCTTAAATTGACACAATTAACGATATACGAAATATACGATCAATTTTGATATATGATCCTATACTTCTTGATCCTATACTGTAGGATAACTGTAAAAAAACTACCAAGATCAATGAGAAGATGGAAAAATTACTTTATAACAGTATATTCAACCGAACTAAGTTCTGACCTTTCACATCAATACATGCGTTTTCACGCCAATAACAAGATCTGAATAAACAAGTTATCTTAGCACCAAAATTATTGTCTAAATATTATTATAGAGTACAAACTATAAATATGAATGTTTGGGACCATTTTGGAATTGGATCACTCGATCACTCACCAAGGGACACTAACTAAAGTGGTAATTTAACTGATCTTTGGAACGAATTGGGTTTTAATCTTATGTCATACGAGAGTATCTAGAACGTAGCCACCACAACCGTACGCCTGGTTGACAGCGGCTTGGTCTAATACAGGTACATAGCTTTCTTGTATAAGAATAGGCTGTCGACTGGAAGCCTCGTTTAATTGTCGCTCTAAAACAGTATTCTGCAATTCCTCTTCTTCCAGTTCCAGCGTCAGTTCGTCCAGCAACTTCAATCTACTCTCTATCTCCCTATCTGCTCTTTCCAATTCCGTGGTATTTTCTTGCATCTCTTTTGCACTTAGCGCTAATTCCTCTTCGATCTTATCAATCAACATTGACACCTGCGTCGCGTTCTCACAACTGTTTGCCTTATTCTCGTCCATATACCGTTTAACTTTTGCCGTTAAACGCACTACTAATTCTTCCTCACGATGCAATCTTTTATTTATAATAGCTAACTTCTCCAGTAACTCTATTTCTTCTCTTATTCGTGTTAGTTCGTCTAGCGACGCGTCAGAATCTGTGTCGTTAGTCGTCTGCATTAATCTTTCGGAGTTCACTTGACATATGTCAGTTAATTCTTTTGTGAAGTAGTGTTCTCTCATCAGGAGTCGTTCTCTTCTGGATTTGTGTTTTGTATGTCTTCTGGGCGGTGTCCCACTCCCTACTCCTACTCCACTGTCGCTGTTCCCGGCTTGGCTGTCGTTAACTTCGCTGCATCTGCCGAGATCTCGAAGATAAGATTCTAGTAGATAATTGGTGCCGTGTTTCTCCATTCTGCTCTTGTGAGTTTGGTCTTCTAGTTGATCTATTAGTTTCTCTTGTTCCCTGCAAGGAAATATAGTTTGAATATCAAAATTATGTACTCTATTTCCTAATATAGTGTATAAGTCGGATCTTACAAATATCGTAATTGTGAATACTTGGAAAGATGTTTATATATTTATTGTAAAGGGCTGAATGGATTTGAATAAAATTTGGGAGTAAATATGGACTATATTCGAACTAGATTAAACTTCACCATTTGCCTTCTTCGAGAAGACCAACAAGATTTTTATACAACCAAAAATTTAATCACAATATAACTGCCGAACCATCTGACGGCAAGTGGTAACTACCGCTTGTAATTTTATTGCCATTTTGACCACTTCGTTTATGTAAGAACAGTTGCTTAGAAGCAGCTACGGGTGGGTTAGAGGTATACAGCGTCTACAATATACAGTTTTATACTATATATAATAGTACCTTAATTTATCGAGTTGTTGGTGTATAGTTTTGCTCTGATGCTGTATGACCGACACGAGCCTAGCCGCCGGGTCCTCGCTTCTCGCTCGGGGCGGAGGGGTGGCAGCTCGCACCCCTCGCCGGCGACGTCTCCTCCCCGCCCGACTGCCCCCATCACTGTCACGGCCTGAGTCATCTTCCCCCCCACTGGATACACGTCGGAGAGATAGCCGTACCTGAAATATTGAGCGAATTTTGTATTGGTCACTGACCTGAAAGAATTTGTTCAGCTTATGATATAAGTTTATATCCCTTCTTCGTTATAAGCAAAGACCGATCCGCAGATTATTGGATGAGGGCTTTTCATACCATCCGCATTTACGAGGCAAATGAGTCTTGTCAAATCAAATAGTTCAGCATGAATTTGAAAAATTCACAAGTTTAGGCTCGAACTCTACCATATCGGGACTGTATTAGTGATCATCCGAATCGTAACTAAGTGTTATCCTGAAGCCAAACATTTTGTTTGAATATGATGTGTTCCACTTGCATGGATAAGAATCGAAGAAAAATAACTGAATTTAAATAAATTTGCGAGTACCACGTACATAGTTATTTTTATTTAAACCCTCATTGAGTGAATTAAAAGAATGTTTCCGGTATGCTCTTAGCACGTTTACAGTAACCAAAAAGTATAGGAATATCTGGAGATAGATTAGTCTTCAATGGATTCCATTTTTATTTTTTATTAAAGAGAAAAATATTATATACGTAAGGGAACTTATATGTACTTATAAAAACAAAAGTTCATCATTAATTTAAGAATTATTGCTAGTGTAGGACTAAGCTGAGGTAAGACTGTAGGAGCCAGAGTTACAAGTATCATATACATGCTTACAGAAATTAGGTGTCTTGTAACCAAGTGGTATCTAAAAGTAAACCTACCTCATGCCTGGCGTCTCCCCAAGCTGCCAACACGTGTAAAACAGGTACATCAGGTGGCAATGGTCTTTCCACTCCCCGCCATCTTTCTGCCAGCACCCACTCGCCGTGATCGGTGAGGCCAGCGCCACCTACGTAATGAACATATAAGACATCGTTGTAATAAACTATATATGTAATAATAATAAATATTAAAAGAAAAATACAGTCTAAAATGAGAAAATACAAGTCTGACTGTTTCTTTCTAAAATTAAATGCCATTCAGCAGGAGAATAAAAATGTTTTACATGATTTCGGACAAGTTTTTCTCACCAAACAGTGAACCCAGTTCGTGTTAAAAACGTAAGAAAACTCTGAGCAAAATTAGCTATATAGTACTATTAGCTTTTTTGCTCTAATTAGGTACATTTACTCATGTGCCATTTTATGGTATAGTTATCTCATAAGTATTGTTAGATATTCCCCACGGGATACATGAAGGGGAATACAAGACCCCATTGAAGAGGGTGTTAATCTTTATAACGTAAAACTTTTGATAATGCTCGATTCTCTGAAACCAGTTAGGTTATAAAATATATTAAAATAAAAATCCGTGAAAGTATTTGCTCAATTATAAAGATAAATTCTAGTAGTCAGGGTCGGCAACGCGCGCGTAATACCTCTGGTATTGCAGACGTTAATAGGCTACGGTAACCGCTTACCATTAGGTGGGCCGTATGCTTGTTTGCCACCTCAGTAGTATAAAAAAAGTCTCCAGTATCAACATTAAGCAGGTCATGTTAAGTTTACCTTCGGGTGCATCTTGCAGCGCTCTGACAATGTCCGCGCAAGTGGTGTGTGAACGCACACCCCTAATCCAGAGCCTTTGGCCCCTCGCCAGCACACCCACTTCTTCGTCGCTGTAGTCTGACGATGAAGCCTCCATTACGTTCCGTCACCTAAGGACAAATATAAAGTAACTTGAAGAAACAAATTTAAACAGAGTAGAGAGCAGTCATTTCATTACCATCAATAGAAAACTAGGCATAAGTCATGCCTATAAAGGTATAATGTAGATCAGTTAGCATATTGTGACGAATTCCACAAAAATTAATGGAGTCTAACTGACCCGTTGCTAGCAATACATATATATGGATTGAACTTTAGCTTATAGCGAGTAGTATAGTGATAAAATTTAGTAGCTGGTATTAATCCGAATACTCCTTATGATATATGCGATAAAAAAAAAATTAAATTGCAAAAAGATAATTTAGACCCATACACACGAGCTTGTCCAACTTTTTTTTTTTATTTATAAACTACGTGCATCTATTTTAATGTAATAACTACCGCTTTAATTTATGTGTAATTAGCGTCACGCAGTTAGACTTGTGCTCGCGTCACCGTCGCTTATGACTAAAGATCACGAATTGATTCCGAAACAAGTTGAGCTTTTTCGATTTAATTACGCGTAAGTAAAACCGATAGTTATTAAATTCAAATGTAATGTGTGCTTACAAAATTTTTAACATTACGTGCATCTATTGTAAGTGCAAGTAAGTATTTAATCTTTCCAGGATCTTTGTTGTAATGCATTAGAATACAAGGCCTGCAATTTACTTCACGGATTATGGGCGGTTTCCTGATATAACCGGTATAAACCGGTAATAACTGACTGTAAACCAACCCCTCACTCGCTTGCCTGCCATGTGCCAGGTAGAGTCGGCCTCCGAAATTGTGCAAACTTTTGCAACTTACGTTTAAGTTTCTAAGTTCGTAGGTATTTTGTATAATAACTTTATACTTAGTCTTTAAGCAGTTTATTATTATGACTGAAAGTTCTAAATAGAACTATATCACTCCTAAACAGAACTCCAATAATAATATAGTACTAATATATGTTTGCAAATTACTGTCATATTTTATTTAACCACGAATATATATATATATATATATATATATATATATATATATATATATATATATATATATATATATATATATATATAAGTTGCGTCATAGTTTGTCAATAAAATACTATCGAACCACCTCAACTTTGCACAGTTTTTTATTTAATAAAATAGATAGAACTCATGTTACACGCTGATAACGTAGCTTTGTATATGGTAAAAGAGTTACTAAAATCGGCCAAGTCCGACTCTAAAATTTATTAAATCACAATAAGGGTAGGATAATGTTGATATTTTTAAGTTTAACCATTTTAGACTTACTCAATATGACTCGCTAACGTAGCTTTGTAAATGGTAAAAGAATTTTCAAAATCGGTTAAGTCCGATCCTAAAATTTGGGGGGGGGGCAGGGATTGTTAGTGATGGAAACTGAGAATTCCATTGCTAGCAATATACCTAACCAGGTCAACCGCCTCGCGGTTCCTCCTGGAAACTAACATGGTTAATTCATGATAGGCTAACTGGCCCGTTTTCATTCTCATCTATCACCCTTCACTGGTGCTTCGCCAGCGTATCCCGTTAGCGCAGGCCTGGTTATCGTTCCATTCTCACCCATAACAAAAAAAGATCCTAAAATTTATATAATTGGGACAAGGATAGGATGATCATGATTTTTTTTTAAGTTAAACAAATTAAAAAAAAAAAACAGACATAATTAAGTCTTTCCTCTTTATAATATTGATTAAAATATATCAAATTCCGTATAAAAAATTCAATATTATTTAGATTATGAAAACAGTAAATCAGTACTGTGCATACATGTTAAAAACATTTCGTAGCGTGACTCGAATCCAGACTGGCCGTAATAACAAAATCATATAAACCTAGGTACATTTCTACGAATAACATTAACACAGACCGTTGTAATTTGAGTGTTGAATTCGTGACTGGCTACCATTAGGCGTTTCCGACACCCCCCTAAAACCCCCTAACCCCCTCACCCTATTTCCACCCCTGGTTTTTACACTACTTCCCCTCACCTGGCATTTAGGGCGCCATTGTTGTATTAGTGTATGGAAATATTCGGTTATGTTAAATCTGCATACATTTAGATATATTATCCATTCTTGTGGCAACACTATAAAACTATACTACGTTTATATTGTGCTATTACTCAAATAGCTATTATTTTGATTTTTTTGTATTAAAATTAGTTGTAAAGTGTAATATAAAAATAAAACATTTTTTTTTATACAACATAGAATGGCAAACAAGCTGATGGCCCACCTGATGGAAAGTGGTAACCGTCGCCTATAGACATGAGCAGTACCATGCACATAACAGAGTATACTGTTTCGCCCATGATACCCCCCATGCGTTGCCATTCCTGAGGACTCAGGTGTTATTCCTCTATACCCAGTAAATTCACGCCATATCCCACCCTTCAAACCGAAACACAACCATGCAAACACAACTGCTTCACGGATGAAACACGAATGGGACAGAGATACCCAAGCAATCGACTTTTGTACAAAGTCTTCCTCTGGTGAAATTGAATGAATGAATTATATTTTAATGCAATATACGGTTTAACTTACGTGTAATTAGATCGAAAAATCTCGACTAGTTTCGGAATCAATTTGTGATCCTTACTCATTAGTACCTGTGAGGCGAGCACGCACGCATAATAATAAAATAAAACAAGTTTACCAAAGGATAACTGTACAAGTCGGGGGGGGGGGGAAGGGATTGTTAGTAATGGAGACTAAGAATCCCATTGCTAGCAATATACCCAAACAGGTCGACCTCCTCGCGGTTCCCCCTGGAAACTATCATGATTAATTCCAGATGAATTCATCATGATTGGCTAACTGGCCTGTATTCATCCTCATCGATCATCCTTCACTGGTGCTCCGCCAGCGTGTCCCGTTAGCGCAAGCGGGATTACCATTCCATTTTCATCCAATTAAAAAAAAACTGTAGAAGTCTTCAGCTTAAGTACCTCTGCCTCTCTCGTCGTTCTGCCATTGCTGTATTTCGGTTTGAAAGATGGGACAAAGCTAAAGTCCTAAGGAATAACAACGCGTGAGGGGCATTGTAGTACATCCTGTTATATCCATGTAATGTTCTATTCACACCTGTAGGCAATTACCACTTTCCATCAGGTAGGCCATCAGCAATACATAGCTACCTAGTTAGTAATAAACATTCGTTTAGTTTATAAAAATATTTCATGCTCTTTTACTTAGAACAGTAGCCGAAATCGGCACTATTTTTTTTCTACAGTTTTAAAATAACCAGCAATTATAGGAGGCGAAATAGCTATGTGTGCTTTATTACATATGATATTGAATGAAGTCATAAAACGGCCAAATATGGTAGCACTGTAACCTCAAATTGCGACGATTGGTCATGAGTTATTATTAATTTGGCCACGTTATCGATATGGCAACATTTATGGCACTTATTTATATATATGACCTTAAAATTGTTATTCTTTTAATCTTATTTATAGACGTAGGTCTTTATTAACAATTTGTTCAGAAGATTAAAGATTATGTTCTCCAAAAAATAAAAATCGTCTTCAATAATGACAAATAGGGGGGACAGGGATTGTTAGTAATGGAGACTGAGAATCCCATTGCTAGCAATATACCCAACCAGGTCGACCTCGTCGCGGTTCTCCCTGGAAATTATCATTGTTAATTCCTAATTAATTCATCATAATGGGCTAACTGGCCTGTTTTCATTCTCATCTATCACCCTTCACTGGTGCTCCGCCAGCGTATCCATTTAGCGCTGGCGGGGTTACCATACCATTTTCACCCATCAAAAAAAAATAGCCGCGTACAGTATACTTTCAGGGGTTTTTTTCCCACTCAGACTGTGGAATGAGCTCCTTGCTCGGGATTATCATCAGTCAATGCAACTTTACAACATATATTAATTTAATACAACAACAGTCGACAGGGAGTCCATCCTCATATCCTACACCCTTAATGGTCGCGTACAGCACGGGTTTAGAGATGTTTTCTCCCACGACATTCAGGTTATGGGATGAGCTCCCTGCCGAAGTTTACCCAAGAGACTACAGCATAGGGTTTCAAAAGAGAGGTAAAGAGGTTTCTTCAGGGTCGGCAACGCGCACGTAATACCTCTGGTATTGCAGGTGTTCATAGACTACGGTAACCACTTATCATCAGGTGGACCGTATGCTTGTTTGCCACCTCAGTGGTGTAAAAAAAAACTAAACTAGTTGCATCATACGCTTACTTTGTTAACGTGTTATTTACAATTTTAAACAAAAATATAGTTGTTAGAAACACGGCTATCGTAACAGGACTACGATTGCTCGTATTCCGCTATAGGCGCTATTGCCGCGTAATCGCAGATTTAACATAACTACCTAGTACAAGTAGCATGATCGTGTTAATCAGCTATTCTAAAGAAACCATAGATTTAAATTCAAATAGATAACGCAGTTGTACGTATATTGTGTGTACATATTGAGCATTAAGTGCGAAAGCGCTTAAATTGACTCCATCTAAATATCGATACCATCAATTCTCTGAACTTTTTAAAATTTAGCCTCAATTAGACCCAATTTAACTTAATTTAGAGTAAAAAAATTTGTATGCCAAGTACAGACAATTATGGCGTCTATTTAAATCCATAATTATATGTTTTGATGATTAATACATTACTTACTTTAGTTACTTACTTAGTTCAATGCATTAAAGGAATCGACCATTCGTAACTGATGTCAATCAGTACATTCATAAATCAAAATTACACAGATGTCAATAAACGTAAAGATCCCTCGATATTATCACTCTGCACGCAATAAATATCACGATACTGTGATCCAAATATCGCTATAAATATTAACGTGCAAGACGCCCGGAGCGGTCACCTGCGTAGCCACTGCCACAGTAGCGACGGGTAGTGACGAGCGACAATCGTATCGACTTATCGATATTTTAAAATGGATTATTCGATAATAACCTACTTATTTTTAAGCTGTCGTACTTTACAGTGTATCGCGATAT